TTTTTTTTTCCGTCTTCTCCATCCTGCCATCTAAGTCGTAAAGATAGCAATGGCCGGAAATCTCAAAGTTCTTTTTTTCCCTTGTTTTTCTTTCTTTTTCTTTTCTTTTCTTTTCTTTCTTTCTCTCTTCTTTTTCTTCTTCTTCTTCTTCTTCTTCTTCTTCCGTTCGTTCCTCGCATCTCGTTGGCGGTGTCGTCACTCTCTGTCGTCTTTCTGGACGACTCCTCTCCATCTCTCCTCCTCCTCCTCCTCCTCTCTCGTCTAGTTACTGAAGTTGTAGAGAAGAGATACCAATAGCTGGAAATCGCAATTTCTTTTCGCCATTTCGTTGTTTCATCAGCACGCACATTGTTGGCAGTGTGTGTCATCTTTCTGGACTCCTTCCCCCCACCTCCTCCTCCTCCTCCTCCTCCTCCTCCACCCTCGTTTCCTCCATCCCTCCTCCATATCTCCTCCTCCTATACCTCCGTCTCCCTCATCTCCTCCGTCCCTCCTCCCTCCCTGCATCCTTCGTCCTCCTCCTCCTCATCCTCCTCTCTAGTACAGTTATCGAAGTCGTAGAGATAGCAATCACTGGAAATGGAATTATTTTTTCTATTTTTGATCCTTTCTTTTGTTGTTTCAGCAGCATGCATCTTGTTGGCAGTGTCTTCTCATCTTTCTGACTCCTCCCTTCCATCTCTCCTCCTCCTCCACCACCCTTGTCTCTATTTATTTATTTATTTATTTTTATCACCCTTCTCTCTTACTGTCGCAGAGATAGCAATCGCTGAAATCGCAAAGTCTCTGTTTTTTTTTCTTTTTTTTAATTATTATCAGGGAAAATTTGTCTGGCGCCCCTGTCATTTCCATTATTTTGCGTCGCGCCCCTCCGACGGCCGATTTACCCTGTCGTGCCCCTGGGGCCTCTGAAGTTTCCTGCATGCCCCTGTCAGCAAGGGGTGCAGCTTTCCGTGGTGCCCTCACTGGACGGCCAGTCCCGTTCCACTAGTCCCTGCGCGATATACCCTCATGTGCGGCATGCATCTTTCTGTCATGCCCTTGCGCTGGAAATTCAGATTTGAAGCATGCGGTTTTTGTGGCGCTGCTGCAAAAAATGACGGTGTGTGTGTGTGTGTGTGTGTGTGTGTGTGTGTGTGTGTGTGTTTTAGATTTTCCCCACAACAGCCCCAATTCCACCCAGGTGAATAGATTCAGAATCAAAGCTGTCTTTGTCCTATTGCAGACAACGAGAGCGTTTGAGATGTCCAACATTTTAAAGCAATTTTATAATTAGACATTTTTTTGGTTGTCCTTGGTGTTCACCTTTCATTGTTCTTGCAGCTCCCCTTTTACTATGCCTCTTACGCACAAGGCTGCCCACGTTGATTGTGGTTGAGCGGCAGCTGCCCACATCCCCGTGTGCCTTCACGGCCCACTTGCACGTTATTTCAGGAGGCAGAGTAAAAGGGAAGGTATGCTCCTGTGCATCTCTTCAGAGCTTCATAGTCCTGTTCATTTCACTTCAGATCTTCAGCTTATACAGTCTTCGTGTCCGTCCTTCATCTTCATACTTCCGTTCATTTCATTTCTGATCTTCATATCGTCTATTCTCTTAATGATGCTCATTCGTATGTATTTGTCAATGACGGTGTGTGTATATGTGTGTGTGTGTGTGTGTGTGTGTGTGTGTGTGTGTGTGTGAGAGAGAGAGAGAGAGAGAGAGAGAGAGAGAGAGAGAGAGAG